GCGCGCGCACATTGGCTTTATTAGTTTGCCAAGCCTGTTCTTGAAGCACTCATGAATACTGATGATAAATACTAAATATACACACTTGCAGTTTTCAAAGACCACATTTGCCTCACAAATACTGCATTCAGAAATCCAATGACAAATGTTTCTGTCCAAATGTTGAGCAAATTTAAAGTAAAATCTGCAAATGAAAATGAGAATGAATGCTCATTGAAATATTTGTATGCATTGTGTGTAATATAAATATGCTGGGGGGGTTTTTCTGTTCCATCCTTAATTGAGGTTTAGATGTTTCTCTATAGTTTTGTTAACCTTTGATTTACTTACTCATCATCTCTGCCAGTGAGATGTTAGATCGCTGCCATGCTCATATTTTCATTGCACTGAACCGCGGGTTTATCTAATGGCCCTTCTTCTCCGCAGGCATTATATCGACCTTCCTCCATGTCCATCCATTTGGGGCCAACCTCGAGTATCTGTGGTCGTACATACAGAGACTAGACTCCAAGGTAAATGTCATTAAAAAACAACATGAAACATTCAGCTACATTTCTTACTAAACCCTATTAAAGAACACATGACATAGAAAATGTATGTAATACACAAAATACTCATGAGCAACAAACAAGGGATTGCAGAGGCATAATCTATGTGACCTTTCTTAGAATTGGACTGGCCATTTCTAAGAAGTTCTCTGGGTTTTGCTCGAGAGTAAGCCTATGGGTGCGTCAGTGCTTTTAGATATTTTTATCAAGCAAAAGCACAAAGCAGCATGCTGATACTAAGGCACAAAAGAACACACACATAGCAGTTTTACTTTCATTTCATTCATCTTCGGCAACAGTCTCACATACAATGCTTAACAAATTTAGTATAACACCTATAATAATTGATATAAAAAGTAATTTTTCAGAAATTGTATATAAATAACTGTAACTTGCCAACTTAACAAATAATAATAATGTGCTTTACAACTGCTTTTTCCTTGTTTATATGTAAAACATTTCAATTATGTTAGTGAAAATTATATTTTTGCATTATTGCATTATAAATATCACGTAGACTAAAGATATATCACTTTACATATCACATATTAGTGAATTAACCATTACAGAAACATAAAAGATGATTCTGATAATTATCCAACAGGTTACTTTAGGGTAGCTAAGCTGCATTTGTCACAATGCCACAAAACTTCAATTCATTTCTTTTCTCAATTAATTTCTGTCGTATTTATATAGCATCAAATTACGATAACAGTCACTTCAAGGTGCTTTATATTGTAAGGTAAAGACATCCTGAGTTTAGATAGCGGCTCTGTGTTGGAATATGACACTGAAGAAAATAACAGTGGAGGAAGCAGATCCTTAAATTTAGTTACAGCCCTTTCAAAAAAATATCTACTGTAATCAGATGTATTTCCCACTGCTATGTAAACCATTATTGTAAATACAAATGTTATTAGGGAATGATCACTCAAAAGCACTACATTAGGTAAAGAGCATGAGAAATCAGAAACAGATACGGGTGAGGCTATAAAGTTCACGTTTTTTTGGAGCCTCAAGTGGTCAATAGAGGAACTACGGTTTTTGCCACTTAAGTGTTAGCTTTATAATACAGCCCTAGATGTTGCCAGATGATAAAGATTTGCCATATAACAACAAAATGTGTCTAAAAATTATCCGATTTTCTTTGGTTTTTAATTAATCTAGTGAAGGTTGTACCTGCAAATCCAAGGTAGGTCTAATGTGTTTTCATAAGACCTAAAGTACCAAAGTGATATCCAATATGATATGAAAATCAAGAATAAAAGCCCCTGTAGTTTGTTCTGTGTCAGTCTGATTTCTCTTCCTCTCTGCTGTCGTCGTTCAGGTATCTGCAGGGGAACTGGAGCGGCTCATGGTCCGTCTGCCCAGTATGTTCAGGCAGGAGCTGAGTGGCGTCGGTGCAACTCTGGAAAAAAGATGGAAATTCTGCGGTTTTGACACACTGAGTTCAGCGTGACACAGGAGTGGCGCACACACACACTGCGAAGACACACCAACGTGAACAGACGTGCACAATGCCTCGGACCTTTAATTCACATGTGTGTGTGCGCATGTTCTTCAGACACACGGCAGTGCAGTAGACAACAGATGACGTTCACTCAAGCAGACACTGGAAACTGTGAAAGCGACGGATTTTTTTTTTAGAATCCCAAAAGACATTTCACCTCTGGATGCTGGGTTCAGGTGAAATAACATTTCTTTTCCTCACTGCAGATTGTCACCACGGTGAACTGCAACAGGGCGTTATAGACTATCGTTGGTCAGCGCTGAAGACACACCCTCTGTCTGTCCTCTGAAGTGAATCATGGTCCTGGGTGTCTTGCTGTCGGTGCAGTTTGGAGTCAGAAAAATCCAGCAACAACCGAAACATCACAGACAGAGAGTTTAAAAAAAAAAAATTTATACCAAAGTTGAACGTTAAAAGATTTGATGCCAAACCTCATTTCCCCGGCAGATAAATCATCTCCTACTTGGTCCAAGAACTGGCTGTGCAAGGGAGTTTTTGCTGTGGCATGATGGGACCACAGATCACTTCCTCTTACTGGTTTGGAAAGGACTTTGTACACCAACTCTAAATCTGTCATTCAATAAAAACACATACAGAGCCCTTTAATTTAATCTTTACTGCCAGCTGATTGTAATCTTGTGTTACTTTCTGAATGTGGTGGTGAAACAATATCTAACATTATTTGTGTTGCATTTTCTCTATATTCATATTTGGGGTTTTCAAGCTTTCAGGCAATTCCCTGACTTTGTCCATAAGGAAGCGATTTTCCCCAGAATTTATACTCGGGTGCAAATTATGTGTTGCCTCAGAAGATTTGCTGCTTTTAAGGCTAAAGTAAGGGAATAAAAGTCTGTGTGCACAGTGACCACCACAGATTACATGAAAGGACAGCCATTGCACAACTAACTTACTCTGCTAGACCAACAGAATACAGTAAATCCCCCATTCTGTAAAAAGAGTATATCTGCAGAAAGGAGTATCTGAAATAAGATTTTTCTTTTAAGTAAAAGCAATTTAAATAAAAAAAATTATTTATACAGTGCCAAATCACAGCATCAATGCTTTTTATATTGTAAGGTAAAGACCCAACAATAATACATTCATGGTGAGGGGAAAGAGCAGAGAGAGATGGGACAAGAGACAAACTATAGTGATAATGTAAATAAAACTAATCCCAGCACAGAACCCTGTGGAACTCCAACCACTGCAGCCCAGTACCTTTAATACATGTGGCCTGTTCTAATCTCTATTTGTGATTAGAACAGATCATGTGTCTGTGTCACATGATCTAGAATTGACCATTTGTACTTATTAGTGATAAAGTACCTTATAAAGTGCTAGAAGTTTACAGTTTTAAGGCCAGACTACCCTGTGTGATTATATCCGTGAAGACTATGTGCAGTATAAGGACCTAGATTTTGCTACTCCTGATCAGAGAATAAGCAAGCCAAAAATCTTCAAACAGACATGTGCTACTTCACACCTGGGTACCATCGCAAAACACCTTGGATACATTTACCGTAAATAATGTGAGCCTCCATTGTTACTGGATGCTAGTGTTTACTGAGTGACAGTTTGGGGTTGGTGTGTGAACATGAGTTCGTATTTATTTCTTACTGCCAGATATTTTTTAATTGAAAAAATAATAATATACAGGCAAACTGATGTGGAGTTTGAAATAATCTGAGTGACTAAGTGTAAAAACACTCCAGGCCTGTTAGGTGCTCCCTGACGAGGACACGGACACTGGAAACAGGAGGGTTAGAGGAAGGAAAGGACAATATTTGGGAAAAAATGCATGAAGATGATGGAAGTAAAGAAAGAAAAATTGCTGATTTGTCAAAGACCGATGTGAGGGATCGAAATTCAGTCATTCTGCTTAATTTATTTCATTATATTGTGTAAAGAAGCTGTTCACAGAAGGCAGCAGACTGAAATGTTCCACTGCCATATTACATATTGTAATTAAATATGGTAAAATGCAAAAAACATGACCTAAGTGGTGCTACTTTTTTCAAATATAGTATCCAAAGTTAATGACTGTGACAAATATTTATTATCCTTCTGACTAGAGCAAAGGGAAAAGATCATGATGTTCGTCTGGGGACTGAAGATGATTTTTGTCATTTCTGAGTGTTTTTAAAGACCACAAAGCTGGACATGTAGAAAATACAATGCTAATGTTATTTAGCATTGCACTCCCATTAATGTTACGGGCACTCGTTCTCCTGATTTAAATATCTAGTTCTAAAAAAGAAAAAAAGAATGAAAACAGCGCACTCACACACACACAATCACAAACATAAGGTCTGTAATGAGAATTGTGTGGCAAAGGTTTAGGGCAAACTAAAAACACACAGTTTAATTCAGTTGTCTTATTTATTTAGCACCAAATCACAACAGCAGTCTCTCCGAGACTGTGAGATAAAGACCCTACATTAACAGAGCGAAAACCTCAACAATCAGATGACCCCCAAATAAGCAAGCACTTGGTGACAGGGGGAAGGAAAAACTCCCTTTTAACAGGAAGAAATGTTCAGCTGAACCCTGCTTGAGGAGGGGAGCTATCTTTAAAGCGAGAGGCTGTGTTGGCTGGTTGCACAAAAGTGTGGCTTGGAAGTGGAAGAGTGGAGTGCTCCACGTTTTGAATTTTCAACAACAGGCTGATACAAGTTAAGTTTGAACACGTTACTACAATAAAATACTTCTTATCACTTGCTGCTGTCTAAATCCAGATTGTGAGTTATATACCAACTATGTATTTAAGCTTTGCTGTAGATCAGTTTGCATTAGTAATCTCTGCTCTTGTGTTGTTTTGTTTTGGATCTAAACGTTCCCACACTCCAGCAGGAAAAAGTAAGGAAACAAGTTTCATTTCATTTCATTTTTTAGGGTATTTAGCGTCCCACTTTTTAAAATTTCAACCTTTTGTAATGAAGTGATATTTTGCAGATGGATTCTTTACTCCATGCTTCTCTTTTCCCTGTAAATTCTCCATCACAACTTTCCTTGACCTCATAGTGTTTTCCACTGAGGTCATATAGAAAGCGTTATCAGCTAGACTACAAAAGCTCTATATAAGTAACACTCTGGTTACCAAATGGTGGTTAGAGGCCTTTTTTTGGACTATTTAGAAGTATCCTGACCACACGAGGAGCTAAGCTTAAAACTAAAACAGGAAATAACCGTCGACACATTGAGAGAGATAAAGACGGATCCACAAAAGTAACATGATACTGAAAAATATGTAGCGAAACAAGAACTGAAGAAAACTGAGGAACCAAAATTTAACAACACAAAGGAAAGAAAAAAAAAACTGAATCATGGATAGTACAAAGACCATGATGGACATTTTTGTGTGATTTTTTTTCCCACACAAAACTCAACAACCAGTTTAAGAAATACTACTTCAAAATAAAGTTTTAGCTGCTGGTCACAGCATGGATCCCAGTGTGTGGCACCGGAGATTTCAAGTTTCTGAAAGTTGCATTTTGGACCACAGAGGTTTGAAAAAAAAAAACTTGGATTTCCCTCCTGGGAAACTGTGAAAACAGCAATTTGTGGACAAACGGTAAATCAGGGGTTGGAAATATTTAGTTGGGGTATTTAATTAGGGTAGGCTGTAGTTTTCCAGGCATGGTGGTGCCTCGGTAATATTTTATTCTTTCATTTATTTCATTGTATACATTTAAAACTAGAAACCAGACCACAGATTTGGTGGTTCTGCTGGAGCTACAGCAGTACACATAAATATAGGTTTAACAAAAACACTCATACGCTGAGGTATTACATCAATAAGTCTTGCAGTAGACACTATAAGAAACAGATCGATACTACACACACTCAGCCCTGAGATCTGAGTGACAGGAAACACCAAATTGATTGATTGATTGATTGATCATACTTTATTCATCCTGAGGGAAATTGGGTTAAGGCTGGCAGAATTTAGCTTAGTGTGATGGGCATTTTGCTAACTGCATGTGGGACACCTTGCTGACCGTTTCCCTTTAAATGTTACAGGGTTTTATGGGTTGGGAATGACATTAACAGTGCATTTGCAGTTATTTCCACAGCAAATTTGTGGAAAAAATTGCAGGTTATGGTTTGTGATGTGGAAGTAAAGTTTTTTTACAGTAATACCTCTGCAAAGTGAAGCTCAGTGCAGCAACAAAACTAAATAAAAGAAGAGTGTAAAAGGAGACTTTAAATAAAAGTATTCAAACTTTACTTCTCTGGGGAATCCAGCTCACAGGATGACGTAAAAGGCTGTTCATGACCACAGAGCTGCTACTGATGCAACATGGACGTAACACACGCGGCTGCTAATGGAAACATGAGTGTGGGTGTATGTGTATGCACGGGGTATCTAAACACAAATCTAGGGCAGAGATTCACTGTCAAACACAATCTTTGCTAAAGGCTTTTTTAGCATTTTTCTCCTTCCCTGCTCACAAATCTCTTTCAGCTCAAGAAAAATTAATTCCATAGAGGAATCACTGACTCACTGAAGTTCCTGCAAAGGAATTCACACCCGCTTTCATGGATATATTGCTGTACTGCAGGCGTCTCTTCTACTGCAATCCCTCCCAAACCCGCAGTTCCTCTTTATGTGCTGAGACTGAATGTGAAGCACATTTTAGAAGTGGATGAATCAGATAGAAAGGCAATGGAAAGATGCAGATGAGTGCACACAGATAAACCCAAGCCTCAGTTTCTAGCTTTTGATTGGTTGCTTAGCAAGTGCTCGAGAGAGTGTGCAGGTTCACGTTCCATATGGTTTCTTTATGGCCATTGGTGGTAATGATAACCGTGCACCCGTTCTCTGTCACTGCCACTGGAAAGCATTCGTAGAGGAAATATCAGATCATTGCTATCAATATTTAAAATCTTGAATGCTTCACTTCTGGTTAAAATGTAGTCGATAGTGGTAACATTGAAGTGGTTTACTATTAAAGGTCCCAGAATTCTGTGTGCAAAGGAACAAACTCGAGTTATTTAGATAAAAAAGTCAGGCAATAACTGACTTTTTTCATAATTCTATAAGCGATCTATAAGATTTTATGCTGCACAAGGCAAAAGTCTCACACACATGTACCATCAGTCATGTTGAGATTTGGAGTTTTTCAGCCATGTTGTAGAAGCTGTGCTTCAGATCATTGTTCTGCTGCCTCATTTTGGTCCAAGCTTTAGGTGCCGAATTCTAAAATCATTAATTATTCCAGTGGTTCCCAAACTTTTTTTGCTGGGCCCCCCTTGTTTTACAAGAAAAATGTTTGCGCCCCCCTTCTCGCGCGTGCACGCGCGCACGCACACGCACTAACACATCTTCCAACCACACACACCCATATTTTGCTCCATTGCGGTTTATTTCACACCTCAAACATTTAGTAAACAATTAAGCAAATACAAGTAATCTGCAATAAATTACAGGTAGTACTAAAATAAACTACGAACTCTTTTACGCTATGTCCACACGTAAACGGTGTTTCAAATCACCGAAAACTCTGATTTTTTAAACTCCTTTTTTGCGTTTACGTGTGGACGAGGAATACAGAGTTTGTCACGCAACGTCAAAGGTATGTGCCTTTTTCACGTCACGCTGTGCGCACGTTATTTTTTACATGAGATGAATTGCAGAATGGCAGATAGAGACAAATACTGTTAATCTGACTATCTGAAGGTTTTACACACTTACACACGCAGTTACTGTCGCTCCATTTACAAAGGCAGAGGCATCACAGTGTGATTATTTTACGTGTAGTTTTTTTTTTCATGTATAATAATATTCAACATTGCTATCAATACATTTTTCAAAAAATGCCTCTCTGTGCAAAATGGGTTTAAAAACATAAACAACTGTGGGATACTGTTTGCCAGTGATTTAAACAGCCCAGCGATTGCTCCTGACGAAGGGAA